AACCTTAATAATTCTATGATTCTATGAATTTGAGTGTGTACTGAACATAAACTGGTCCTTCTTTCTCTCTCTCTCTCAACATAAAAGTAATTTAAACTAGAAGGTCTTGCTCTCCCAGCAAGATATGAGAGCAGAGATTGGACAGTCCAGGTCTGCCCCACCACCTGCACACAAAATCAGTACTTGAGAGTCCTAGCCACAGGCAAAGGCCCACTGTGCCAACAGCTGTAAAAACAGCATTTTAACAGGTACGCATGTTATTTACTTCAAAAAAAAATTCAGAGAGCTCATACCAGTTAGCTTAGTGTAGGCTTCCATGTCCTCCATTGCTGTAGAAATCCGGTACAGTTTTCCTCCAGAGCCTTCTATTTTAAAAAACTTGTCTGCTTTTTGAAAGGCTTCCGTAATCCTAGTTTGAGACAAAACGAAGACTTAAGGATAGCATCATTTTGAAACACCTCATTGCTCAAGAGTCAAAAAAGAAACGCATCAGCATGTTATACACAGAAGACGATAGATGAAACTGCACCCCAAGCATACAGCAGACCCTGACCGCACTGCAATATGTCCTATCTCCATGCTGTCATTGCACATTTCAGCGGCCTTTCCATTTACTGAACACAGGTTCAGATCAGACCTTGACCTTCTTTCAATGAATGAGCAAGTCCACTTTGTTCTGCTTCAGACTACAAGTTAGCACTGCTTAAACGACCGCAGAACCCTGAAAGACAGTGACATGGTCACTCAGCTGCAATGAAGCTGCCTCACAGACCACCATATCTTTTCATGGACTCATTGCTCCAGGAGTTAAGTGAGAGAATCCAAAGGGTTGTACAGGTAAAGCATTACAAACACGTGGTATTTTCAGGAGGGAAAAGCTAATGTTTAAAGATAAGTTCTTCCAGAGTTCCATGTACCTCGCTGTCATTTCCAGCTCGTATGTTCATCTGGATAGGCTGCTAAAATTACAGTAAACCAAGAACCATATTTCTTAGCTGTTTAACTCCTCAAACATAGGTACTGTCAAACCTTAGCACTTTTAGTCTGAGTTTTAGAGGATCACTAAGCCAGGAGCTGAAGTTTATGAAAACCAAGCAGTCACAAATCCCTCTTGTACTGTGTAATCCTCTGCGTTCCTTTTTTCCAAACTCAGCAGATGGCTACTGGACAGCCAAGATCCTAATGAAAAAATCCTTGGGGATAATAGTATTTCTGCTCTTCAAGAAAAGTAAAAAGACTAATGCTATAGGGAAACTTCTACAGACATCAACAAGAGAGGTACAAATGCAGGCAGCCAACCCAGTTTGTCCTGAAC